TACGAGACATGTTGAAGTCTTCTTTAATCATTGCTACCTGTTATAACTGCTTATGGAACCAACCAAGGATTTTGCTGTTCTCTTCCCATATCCTGGCTTGTCATGCCTTTCATTTCACATTCTAAAGTAAGAGTTTCTGTTTGGGATCAGATATACTTACCACTAGGAATCTTTTAAATAAGGAAATTTAAAAAGAATTTCATTTTACTAGCTATATCTTTTATAATTTACTGACCAGAGAAGACATGACAATTGTAAATTTGACCAAGCAATGAGCAACATTTAAGATCAGTGCTTTTCAAACTGCATTCTAGAAACTGGCAATATCTTAAAGTTGCCAAGTTTGAAAAACCTAGATATAACATTTCATGTGGAATTAGATGCAACTTAAAGCAAGGAGAGCAATTATGAAATTATTAGAGCAATTATGAAATAATTAATTATTCAACGTGTAAGGTATATGTGAATCAGAATTTTGCGGCTTTTAGTTTATATTAACATACAGGTCAAAGAAAAAATTCTAATGGTCACAATTCAGAAATTGCCTTTTTTATTTCAATAGTAACATAACTGTAAAACAGAAAAAAAAATGGAATCTAAAGAAACTTTGGGGAAATTTCTTAAGAATAAGCAATAAGGAAACGTTACTGCATTAGTTGTTATTTAGCAAATATAAATAAGAGAAATAGTTCATACTTAGTGTTTGGCAACCTTTTTTTTTTAGAACTTATTTTTTCACTGTCTGGTTTGATGAAAAAGTTATGAGGGGTTTCAAAATTCTGAATATACCTGTCTAAATAGTATCAAATTATATCTAGGTTGGCAACTTCAATATCTGAAGAAGTTATTATTTATATTATTATTTAGCTATTCTGAACAATTTGGTTATTCTTCACATATTCAGAAAAGCATTTTCCAATAAGATAGTATTTTAAGGACCTTTAATATATTTAAAAATGTAAGATTTTTTATTACATAGGATTATATATATTATTGATGCTATATGTATTTGTTTTTTTCCAGAAGAAATCCCTTTCATGCTTTAAAAATGCACCTTAATTTCATATTATTCAGTGTAACATATATAATAGTAAAGAAGGTATCAAACAGGATATGTGCCAAAAAAGAGCGCTACACATTACAAGGCAATGACACAATTTTGACAGAAAAATAAAAGGCAATTCACAATCATTTCCAAGATATCTGTGAGATTTAAGGCCATTTGTTCTACTGTAAAATTTTGACACAAATACCCAGAAAAATGTGAATTTCTTGTAAAAACTGTACATGCAAAAACACTGGATAATTGGAATAAGAACAAGCATATCATAAAACACTTGAGTTGTTCTATACACAAAGTTGTGCACAAAGCAATACAATTGTGCAGTTTTAATCAAGTTAAATAAGATTCACAACTTATGTGCCCCCCATGGCAATATGACTGCAGCTCAGCCAACTCAAAATAAGTCCCCCCCCCTTTTGAATAGCCAATCTAGACAAACCTCATAGCAACTGTCAATCATAGTAAGATATTCACCTTCAGAAAGCAATATAACGCCAAATGTCTACTGTTATTCAACGCAAGATACTTTACAGATTTCACATACCTTACATGAGCTAAACACAGAGCTCAAAAGTTATTAGAAGTGCATGATACTGTTGTTATCATTTATTATGCCAGCATAATCAATCTTAAAAAAATGTAAACACAAGTTATTTCAGGATTGGAGTATCTTGCAAAAATACATTTTCTTACATTATTCACAACTTGGAAGCTTATTCTCAGATATATCAGGTTGATACTTTACTGAGCTTTTCAGTGAGGTGTTTCCATTGAGACCTATGAATGCATTTTCTATTCTTAGCTTTGCACCTAATTCGTCTGGACAATCATTCAAAGAGATATTGCTTCTCTCGTGGATTTTCACTATTGCAAGATAGAAGACAAATGTTTTAAGAATAACTATAAAAAGTAGTTAAGTTTCAAAAGTAGTAACATGTAAACAGTGATACAGAGGATTTGCATTCACATTATATATACATATTAAGTCAGAAAGACAAAAGACTTTTGAATAGAACCCGTGGTCTTGTGCTTTCTCCAAAAAACCCACATAATAGGCATTTTCTGTTAGAAACAGAGTAACACTTAGAAACGACTTAACCATTTAGCTTCTTGTAAATAAAAGCTGTTCAGTTGCGTGTGCAGCAAGATTGAACATTTTGGTATATGAAGTTTTAATTATTATTTTTTTTATGTTTTTCCAAAGCCCACTCGAAAACTCTACTCACTGCATAACAAAGAACTTGCTGGCTCTTAAAGTGCGTCACTGTACTGGAACTCTTTCTTGGCAGTACGGTATAATTTTGAAAAGTATTCAATATTCAAAGTACTCATATCTGAGTCTGCACCACGTGAATCGGGGGTGTGTATGGAGGGGGTGCCGGAAATGGCTTGATTCCTCTGACCCTCATGTAGGAAAGAAACTGGTCCGGGATCTCGGCTAAGACATCTCTTGCAAGTCGGGCCATACTTAACACGTGATTTCCAGTTCTGTCAACATAATCCCGAAATGGTACAAACTGAAATGAAACAAGGGGGAAAAAAAATAATAGTATTGCTTTTGTGGTATCATACTGAATGAAATCTAAAGCAGGAAATAAAATAATTTTAGACAAATGCAGGAAAAAGCAACAAGAAACAAAAAAAATAATCAAAACCACATAATGTACTTAAAAGACAATTTAGAAAAACTTACTTCTCAACAAAGATCGGATCAAATACGCAAACAAAAATACCACCACCAGCAAAATAATGTGGATGACAGATTTCACATGATTATCATAAAATAACCCAGGTTTCTTTCTCCACTTATCATGCTCACTTATCTGATTATGGAGCTTCTGTGGATGTGTGGAGATGTACTGTGGTTGGTGAAGCTGGTAGTATCAGTATTGGTTTCCCATTTTTTTTACTAACTTTATTATTTTTAACTATCATTTGTCAGCCACCTATGGTAGGGGCTATAGAAATCTTTTAAATGAATCAATACATTAATATTTTTGTCTTACCTGTACTATATCTCTTTCTGCATAAACTCCTCTTGATGAAACCCTTACTTCATCACCATCCAATTCTTCCATGGCTTAAAAGATAAAAATATTTCCATTATTTTGCTGTCTGAAATTAATGCAGCCAACTTGATATGAAATGTGTGGCTTTCCTATATAATAATCTATATAATGCAATTACATTTTAGATATAAACTACAGCATTTAATGAACTATAAGTAAGCAGTTGATGTGTGAATTACTGAAATTACTTTCTTGCAAAATTATAAGGTTAATGAAAACACATAATAACAAGAAATTACATTCCCATTTTACATACTGATTGTATTCACAATCTGCTTAACCCAATTTGTTTAATCATGACTTTTTATATAAATCGCAACTGGTTCATATAGAATGCTAATCTGTAAATCTCATCTATTATAATCAAATACCAACTAACCATATTAAAATCGTAGGGCAAATTTGAAAACTAAGAAACAGGATATTGTTACTTAGTTTTCTTCAGAAAAATATAATAATAACAACAACAATAATAGAGTTGGAAGGGACCTTGGAGGTCTTCTAGTCCAACCCCCTGCTCAGGCAGGAAACCCTATACCAGGGGTGTCAAACTCAATTTCACTGAGGGCCGCATCAGCATTGCGATTGCCCTTGGGGGGCCGGGTCGGTGTGGCCAGAGTGGGTGCAGCCTACTGGGTGGGCGTGGATGGAGTGGGTGTGGCCTACTGGGTGGGCGTGGCCAGTTCTACATCATTCGCGTCAAGGGTGCCTGTGGGGGCCTGGGCAGGAGTGGGACAGATCTGAGGGTCTCTGGCAGAAGGGGGTGGGAACGGGGCAAGTGCCAAGATGGCCACCACAAAACTGTACATTGGCTCCTGGCCGGCCTGGGCCAGGGCCAAGGCAGCGGGGGCCGTTCCCTCACTGTTTCCAGGATGGCTTCGCGGGCCACATGAAATCACTTCGCGGGCCGCATTCGGACCCCATGCCTTGTATTTGACATATCTGCCCTATTCCTTTTCAGACAAATGGCTGTCCAGTCTCTTCTTAAAAACTTCCAGGGTTGGAGTGTTCACCACTTCTGGAGGCAGGTTATTCCACTGATTAATTGCTCTTTCAGAAAATTTCTCCTTAGTTCTAGATTGCTTCTCTTTGATTAATTTCCATCCATTGCTTCTTGTCCTGTCTTCGGGTGCTATGGAGAATAGCTTGACTCCCCCTTCTTTGTGGCAACCCGAGATATTGGAACATTGCTATCATGTCACCCCTAGTCTTTCTCTTCATTAAACTAGACATACCCAATTCCAGCAACTGTTCTTTATATGTTTTAGCCTCCAGTCCCCTAATTATCTTTGTTGCTCTTCTCTGTACTCTTTCTAGAGTTTCAACATCTTTTTTACATTGTGGTGACCAAAACTGGATGCAGTATTCCAAGTGTGGCCTTACCAAGGCATTGTAAAGTGATATTAACACTTCACGTTATCTTGATTCTATCCCTCTGTTAATGTAGCCTAGCACTGTGTTGCCTTTTTTAGCAGTTGCAGTATATTGCTGGCTCATATTTAAGTGATTGTCTATTAGGACTCCGAGGTCCCTCTCACAGTTACTACTATTGAGCAAGGTACCACCTATACAGGATTTGTGCATTTGGTTTTTCTTGCCTAAATGTAGAACCTTACTTTTTTCACCATTGGATTTCATTTTGTTAGATAGTGCCCAAAGTTCAGGTTTGTCAAGATCCTCCTGTATCCTAAGCCTGTCTTATGGAGTGTTAGCTATTCCTGCCAGCTTGGTGTCGTCTGCAAATTTGATGAGTTCCCCATCTATCCCCTCATCCAAATCATTGATGAAGATGTTGAAGAGCACTGGACCCAGAACAGAGCCCTGGGGCACCCCACTACACACTTCCCAAGTAGACGCAGTTCTATTGAGGACCACACGCTGAGCACAGCTGGTCAGCCAGCTATGAATCCATCTGGTGATGATGCTGTCTAACCCACATTTTCTATCTTATCAAGTAGTAGGTTGTGGTCTACTTTATCAAATGCCTTAATGAAGTCCAAGTAAATTATATCCACAACATTCCTCTGGTCCACTAATTTTGTCACTTGGTCAAAGAATGCAATAAGATTTGTCTGGCATGATCTGTTTTTGACAAATCCATGTTGGCTTTTGGTAATGACTTTGTTTGCCTCTAGGTGTTCGCTGATTCATTGCTTGGTTATCTTTTCCAGAATCTTCCCAGGTATTGAGGTCAGGCTGATAGGTCTGTAGTTTCTTGGATCCATTTTTTTCCTGATTGGTGTCTAAATAATTCATTTCACCCAGGAACCTCTGGACAGCTGCATAACAACCTTCTCAACAACCTTCCCCAAAAAAGGAAGATTGGAGACATGTTAAAAATTATCCCACAGGGTGGAACCCAGCAATGACTTCTTAAGAAGAAGCCTCCTTAAAATGCTACCCCTCCTGCAGGGAAGCATTAATCACACCAGACCCCACCTCCTGGGAAGCTTTCACAAGTGGTTTACTTTGTCAAATGCCTCACTGAAGTACAAATATATTATGTTCATAGCATTTTGCTGGTCCACTAACTTATCACTTTGTCAAAGAATTTATTACATGAAAGACATCACAAATCATTAAATAAAAGTACAGACTTTGTCCCACTGATTTTTGTTAAGACTTCTCTTTAGATAACAGGAGCTATATTAATTGAGGTCCTCACCATCAAATTCCGCAGGTCCAACACCCACTATTATTATTGACATTGGAAACTTTGCAGCCTTCAAAAGAAGAACATGAAAACAGTTACATCATTTTTCAGATATCACAGGAAAATATTTTAAATATACATTTAATCCCTTCATATTAAAAAATACATTACTGAAATAATTAAATAAAATATTTGTTTTATTTTCAAGGAGCATTATTCACTTTTGAATCAATTAACCAGCATGAAATGTATTTTCAAGTTTTCATCAAGAAACTTGATTTAGAAGATTTAGAAAATAGAATAATCCATTTTGTTTGGGGAAAAAAAGGTTACCTTTGTACAATAAATCCTCCCCTTTCACAAAGGAAGAGAAACTTTTTCTATGGAGATTCTCAGTCATCCAGGTCGTAGTTATACCAAAGATGCTTTTTCACGAGGCAACTGGACTTTCTTGTTTTTCTTTGAAGACATTTCGCTTCTCATCCAAGAAGCTTCTTCAGCTGTGAGCTGAAGAAGCTTCTTGGATGAGAAGTAAAACATCTTCAAAGAAAAACAAGAAAGCTCAGTTGCCTCGTGAAAAAGCATCTTTGGGAAGAGGAAATTTGCTTCTTCTTTGTGGTCTATACCATTTCCCAAAACAGAGTCTGTCGCAAAACACAACTTACATGCACTATGGACTCCTTTGTCTGAGCCATATCAGAAATGACTCCATCTGTAATAATGAGAAGAACAAAATACTGGGAGCCATCTTTTATTGAGGCAGCATATCTAAAAAACAAAAACAAAAAAGAAGCCCTCATATTTTAATGTTAAAACACTATTTGGAATGCTTATAAATCTAATGTACACTAAAAGAAATATAAACACCCAATTATTTTTTAAAAAACAAAACAAAAATCAAGTACTGTAGCTCCTTGAGTATTATCTGTACATTTGCATAACAAATAAAGCATTATTTAAATGTTGCTAGCTTTCTCTTTTCAAGTGAAAAGAAGGAATGTAATCTGTCAGGTCCCAATGATTTGAACTCATCTAGAGCGGAGGTATTCTCTTACCGTTTTCTTGCTTATTTTAATTTGTATTCCTAGTCTGTCTTTTACGGTTCTGTTTTTGATAGGTTGGGCTGTAATATCTTTTTGCATGAAGACAGATGCAAAGAATGAATTAAGTAGCTCTGCTTTTTCTCTACTGCCCATTACTTCCTTGCCATCTTCTTTCATTAGTGGACCGATTGTTTCCTTGACTTTTTTCTTCTTTTTTATGTGTTGACAGAAACTTTTAAAATTATTTTTGACATTTGTTGCAAATCTTACTTCATTCTGAACCTTTGCTTTCCTAATCATCTGTGCAAGTTTGTTGGTATTGTACTTTAATTATGTGTCCTTTTCCATTATTTGTACTTATCCTTTTTGTCTTTCAGTTTATCAGAGTTCTTTGTGTAACCAAGCTGGTTTCTTCCTGGATTTCTTGGGGTTTTTTTCAGTGGTATTGAGCTGGACTGCGCTTTTATACATATTTTTCAGAGTTTCCCAAGCTTTTTGAGTTATTTTTTCCTTTTAAGATTTTCAGCCATGGAGTCCTTCCCAAGTTCTAAGTTTGTTAAAATCAGCTCTTTTAAAGTCAGTCTAAGACTCTGGTTTGATTATGTTCTATTGTTTGTGTTTGCATTCTTGTTTTTATGAAAACAGACATGATTGATCTGTTCAGATCACGTCTTTCCTAGCCACCAGGAAAGACGTGATCATTTCATACAGAGAAGCATGTGGTCCAAGTCCAGCAGTTGAAAGATTTCGGAGTTAAATCATTAGAACAGATAAATGATAGATGTATTCATTTATTTAGGAAATAATTTATTAATACCTTCAGAAACTTCTTAATAAATGGATGAGAAATAACTGTACTTATATATTGTACATAGAAGGCTACAATAGCAATTAGATAAAATTTTTAAAGTCAATTTTTGGCTGGAAAGGGAGCAAGAATTAGACAGCAAAAATAAGTACTAGATAATTGAGATAATAGATCCATTTATCACAGGCATATAAAAAAGAAAAAAAATATTCTAGTTCACTTCCTTGATTGGCTTTTTGGCCACTTCCAATAAAGTTCAAATATTCAATCTTACAGTTGGAAAAGAGAGATCCTCTGTGCTCTGAGGCAGAGGGAGTAAATATAAAGGTATTTTAGCAGGTAGTCTGTACTGTAGGAAGTTCAGATTTGAAAAGAGGCTTTGCTGCAAGGACATATCAAGATATGGAGTAGAGACTAGTAGGGCCAACTAGGATGACCAGTATGATGTACATGCCATCTCTGGATGCCCTTTTCATTGTTCAAACACTGTAGTGCATCACTCTTTGCACAACCTAGTCTATGAGGAGTTCCTCAGATGAGCTGAGAACTTTTTAAAGTTTATGCATGAACTGCAGTGGCATCCAAATAAACAATAATTTCTATCTTATGGCGAGGATAAAAGGTCAATCTTCTATATAGAAAAAGATATTTCTGTTAGAATTGTATACTTATACTCCCGATAGTAATCACTTCCCTAATATATTATTATTGAAAACCTTGAACCAGTTCTATTTAGAATTTAATTCTCCATTTTATGAACACATAAATAGAAGGCCGGGTACATGAAGAGCACAGCACAGTATAAAGAGTTACTTAAACACTTATGTCTAAGGCAAATGGGAGTTTTTCAGTCTTATTACAAACTTCTTTATAAGCGAAATAAATTAAATCAAGAAAGTTGAGTTATCCTTCTCTGCCAGAATTTTAGGTGTGCAATCAACAAGATACATGGCAAGTAAAGTTAGCCTCAAAATGTTATTTTGAAGATCACGGCTAACATCCAAGTAACAAGTATTTATTTATATCCTACATTTATTACTTCTACAAATAATGCAAGGTGGCAGACATATTCAACGCACCTTTTTTTGCAAGTCTGACTTCATCTCTGCAGATTCTTGCTATATGCTGGTATCCTGCCTTAATTTTATATCCCTCTTTCCATTTTTTATACTTGTAAAATAGAAAGCTAGCAATCCTACAGCCAGAGCTGGCAGTTAAGTAAACACTCAACAATGGCTCAGTTTCAAGGCCACCCAGTGCTGTGCAGAGATTGTTAATTTATGTGAAGAAAAAGCTATGGGTCTGAACCACTTCAGCTTTATGAGCCGTTGTATTGCACTGAGGCAGTGAGCAATAAATTGCTGCATTTGATTTCATTCCTGTTTTCCAATTGAATAGAACTGTATCTACTAAAGTTCTGGTCTTGGGAAACTTTAATTGTCTAGGAGATTTGTGATTTACGTTGATAATAACGTATAGCATGATGGATATAGAGCAAAATACTGTGAAATCTTGCTTCATTCAGTTTATAGTGTGAAAGTAAGCTAATTGTCACTGAAATGTGGTTATAATTGCAAGTGAATCTATGGATGCACAAAAGGTTTATTCTGTGCATAGTGGATGTTTTGAGCAAAAGTGTTTTGTTTTGGGGGAGTATAAGCAACAAAAAACCAACACTGGCACTGGCAGATGAGGGGAGACAGAGAGAAGGGGAAACTATTGATAACTGAAGGGATAGACATCCGATAGAATGTGAGAGAAAAAAAGGGTACAACATACTCCTATACCACCATAAAATCACTCTATAACCCCTCAAGGTTATTTTAAGCCAAAATCCAGAATAACAAAATTTTGAGATTTTATTTTTGTTTAACCACAGCTGATTTGAGAGGCAGAATGTCTGATGTTTTATGTTCCATAAAGTGTTAAAAAAACCTAATGCCCCCCGAAACAGTTTGTTTCATAAGCACCCCAAATGAATCCCTTGCCTAAATATTCATGAACAATCAAGAATCCAAAACACAAACGACTCTTCATGTTAAAAAAGACAAGAGGGATAAATACAATCTAAAGTAAGTACATTATGTAATAATGGCAGATGCAGTTCTTCTTTCCATATTAATGAAGACTACGTTAAAAAAATCTTGAATATTATTATATCAAGTTTCAGTACTGGATATTAAACATATTCATTACCTTGCTACATGATTAATAACTGGAGCAAAGTTGGTTGGTCCATAAAGCTGCACAGATTTTAAACTCATATAGTACGCTTCCATTACGCCATCAATTCCATTGCAATAAGGATTTTGTGGGTTTCCATTCTGTAAAGTTAAAACCAGGAAAATGTATTAATTACTGAGAACGTTACTTATAAAATAGTATTATGACTGACAAAGGCCACACCGAGCATTGCATGGGCTATATGGGACTCTAAAAAAATAGGCAAACTGTATTTTAAGATAGTTTCAGGAGTTTTAAGGGATGAAGTGGCTCCTTAAGTAACTGCAAAGCTTAAGTCACTCATTTTGCCCATTATCCACTCAAAATCTCCAAATCCAAGTAAGGAGGGAGGTGTGGCCACAAAATTCTGGAAACTATAATAAGAATGCTGATAATCTGCATGTGCTTCCTTGATCACACATCCTTCACTTCTAGACTTTTTCTTTTTAAATTCACTTAATTATCACAACGCCATTACCATTGCTATGGATAATCTGCTAAATTTCTTCATTTCTACTCATCTTACGTCAGGTAGAATCATATGCAATGTCTTAAAATTTCATAAAATCATTCAGATAAGATGATGGAAGATGATATAGAAGTGAAGCCAAGTACAAATGATAAGTTTGATCCAATTTGCCAAGAAAGGATGTATTTATTTTGTTAATTTGGTACTTTTTCTCATACATGACAGAAAAAAAATTGTGTCCGTCCTAAATTGAACCAAACTAAGGATGTATCTATGCCAGCCTTTTTGTTTTCAGTACTGAGATACCAGTAAGATACTTCTCAGAAACCCATAAATAAGAAAAAGCCACTCCTCCTGATTGCTTAGATGCTTGGAAGATATATAAGGCAGGTATACATTGCATGTTAAAAGAGACAAGAGGGCTAAATAAAACTAAATAAATATATTACGTAACAATGGCAGAATACTCTGAATGCAAGAAAATGATGCAATTTATTTGTTTGTTGGCTGGTTTAATATGCTGCCTTTATTATTATTATAAACAACTCAAGGTGGCAAACATATCTAATACTTCTTCCTCCTTTTTCTCCCACACAACAACTTTATGAAGTGAGTTGAGCTGAGAGTGTGTTACTGGTCCATGGTCACCCAGCTGGTTTTCATGACTCAATCTCCCAGTTTCTAGCCTGGTGCCTTAGTCCACTAGACCAAAGTGGCTCTTAATCCATACATGATACAATAAACCTTAGAGTAAGACGGAGGGGACATTTCTGACTTTATATGGACTGTCAAGGAGATGAAACAAGGACATATTTTAGCGCCATTGCTTTTTAACATGTTTATCAACTGTTTAATTAAACCCTTCAGAGAGTTGTTATCCAGGCACCTAAATTAGCTGATAGACATCTCCCAATTCCCACTGTATGCTGTATGCTGATAATGCTGTTCTTCTCTCTTTCTCTTCTATAGTTATGAAGTGGGCACTAAGAACCCTGGCATCTTACTGCAATAAGGAACAATTAGTTATCAACTAATTGTTTTAAAGTTTTTAGTTTTTTTCCAACAAAAGACAAAAACACAAGTGGACAATTGATTCCCATGAATTAGAGCAAGTCAAATGTTTTAAATATTGTGCATAGTATTTCTGGCCTCTAAGAAATTAACATTCCAAGTAAATTATGTCATTTCTACTGCCCAAAATATTATATAGGTAACAAACTTGCAATCAAACTGTTTATGGATAAAACAGTTGCCCAACTATTATAGTTTTTAATTTTTTTTTAATATTTCTAGTTTGGCTTGATTTTGTCTGGTTTTTGTTTTGCTTGGTTTTTATGCTTTTTAATGGTTTTATTAACTGTTTTTAGCTCTGTTGTATGCTATTCACAAAGTCGCTTCTTTGTGAAATGAGAGGCTATATAAAGTGATTTATTAAATAAATAAGCTGAGATACAACTTGATCCATATATAAGCCTAAGGGCTTATGAAACCACTGAATTGAATAGTTTTAGGACTTAGTTTGATACCCCAAAATGCATTCCTAATGCAGTCTTGAGGCTTGAAGCTAATGTGCCAAATATTAAGGCCCAGATCTGGACCAGGTTTCTGATCTCAGGGCTCAGAATTATATTTAACCCTACAGGCCTATTCCTTCTATTTTGTTAGACAGCTATCTGTCTCATTGGCATTGTACCTGTATAGAAGAACTTTACAGTCCTGGCCTCTCTCCTTAATACTTAGGCCAAGTAAACCTGGAGATGATCAAATCAGTACATCAAAAAAATAAAAGAAGCAAAATAAGAACAGGCAATCTTTGAACATGTTCTTTTTTAAAAACAACAACTACTACATAGGTTACTTTAATAGTGAGATGGGTGACCTATAAATTAAACATACAAGCAAATAAATATATTTCTTACCAAAGCAAACTCATGAGATATTCTTCCATCCGGGGGTAGTTTTGCACCAAAACCTAGAGCTGGAAACATTTTGTCACTATCATAGTCTTGAATGATTTCACCTACTGCTTTTAATGCCATGCCATATGCATTCAGTTGGTATGGATTCATGTAGTGAAGTGAAGTTGGATGTGCAGGGTTACCTGTTTTAAAATATATGTAGAGGATATTTAGTAGATGTGATTTTATATGTACGTTTATATAGTTCTCTATACTTTGTACCTTGGTACTGGTTGTTAATTGGTTCCGGGAAGCACGATGAGTACCAAAAACATTAAGTACCAAAAACATTAAGTACCAACTTTTTTCCATAAGGAATAATGCAAATAAATTAAATGTGTTCCAAACCAAAGACAATGTACATTTTTAAGGCAATATGTAAAAAGATAGGGCTGTATATCATTACTTTACATAAGAAATAAACCTAAAAATGAATCCTTAGATTAAATAAAACTTCACTTTATCTGTTCTGTACTGATGAGAAAAAAATACACAAAATGACCACAAGCTAAGATAAGACCGCAAGGGGATGTGCACAGGGCAAGAGCTACTTCAGGACTAATGTGTGACCTTTTCTTTCAGCTGGAAAGTATATTGAGTCATCAAGCAACCAACACTGACAAGTTCTAGCTTGCATGTTGAGTAACAACAAACGACGACTACCAGGACAAAATTGTCTTGTCAAAATATGTTTGCGTACCAAATTCAACAAGTTTCAAAGCAGTTGAGTACCAAGGTATGACTGTAGCAGCAAGCATCTCTCTAATTGCTACTTTCTTAACAGATATTATTTGTACTATTAATAGATATTTCTGATTATTTCTGCCCTCAACTTTACTACCTTCCTCCCACACGGAACTAAATTCCCTATTATTCCATCAAAGGCTGCCTTCTTTTCCATGTGAATAACACTGATTTCGACAATACATTCGTTAGTGATGAAAAAGCTACACAACTTTTTCAAAATGTGGACAGCAAAGTTAAGTATTTCTTCAACTCTGTTTTTACTATATTCAATTTAAGTATATAATGGGCTAAATGGCCACACAGGTATACTGCTTTGGTCATTTTTAAAATTATATTAAATCATGGCAATTTTAATTTTGCTAAATTTGAAAATTGTGCAGCAATAGTTCAAAAGAAATGTATAGCCACCAAAATAGAGAAATGGATATTTAGAGCCAAACTTATCTCTAAATCAAAGGTTGCAGATAAACCTGCTTCAGGTTCTAAAAATAAGAGAACCTTTTAAAAATGTCTTTATGAAACGTATCTAAAATTTTATACAATTATGTCCATAGCAAATGTTCATATTTCATTGTAAGCACTAGATCCTGTGGATGACTTTGAACTAAGATTATGTGAAGAACCATAGAATCATATGCCTAGAAGTGACCTTGGAGGTCTTCTAGCCCAACCACTTGATTTCTTTCATTTTCTGCTAGGCTTCATGAGCTCATTTTACTTTGAAAACAAAAATAAGCAACAAAAGCTTTCAAATTAATTAAAAATAAAATAATTAAAATGGAGCACAGTTTATATTTCATAATATATGGCAAGTGTAATTAATAAAACTATTCCTTATTGACAGAAAGAAGAAAAGGAGACATATGATTCCAAGATCTAGATTCATTCATGTCTTTTTTAATCATATCAAACCATGGTTTTATAAAACAAGCCTAAATAGCCATCTGTCTGTATTTGTATGTATACACTATTACCATAAATTGCATAACCATATTATATAGATATATGCAAACCTAGATTTAGACTTGATTTTTACTGTAAATAAAAATGAATATAAGCGTATAATGCCAAAAACAAATAGCAGTTTAATAGCCTCTCATGGGTAAGATAATTAAAAGCTTTCAGAAACATAAGGCTTCCCATCTTTTTCTAATAATATATCAGAAAGGAATCTAGGCAGTGAATGCTAGGTTACTGAAATACAGCACAGCATTTTTCACAGCAAACAAGACAAAGAACTCTCTCTAGAGTGCTTAATAATGCATTCTCAGTTTGAATGTACTGGCTTTGATCCACATTTCTATAGACAGAAATGTCTTCAATAAAAGGACTTTATTTCCTCCCTTCTTGCTTCATCATTCAGTGCCTCCTGAAGATATGCCTATTAAGATTGAGAAATCCTTAGCATAATGTGGGAATATGCAGAATGAAGCCATTAGCACTTTTCTATTTACAGAGGGAACTTTTGCTTCCAAACCACTGTAATTTACTGGCATTAAGCTTTTAGAATACATTAAGCCAAAATGAAAGCATATAACATCAAAATAATTCCCACAATTGAAATGTTTGGAAAACTGTATGGTCTGCCCCAACTAAGTGAATAAACTGCACAATTCTTACCATTTGAAGCTGTAAAATCAATAGCCACGGTGAAATTGATTTGAGTCCTATTAAAAAAAAACATTAATAATGCAAATTATTTTAAGACTGAGGTTTAGTATACGAGGAATATAAGAAAAAAGCAATAAAACATGCTTAATTACAAATGTTCCCATATATAAATTAAAAGCTGCATTGATAAAAAATTAAACTTGTACTTAATATATTATCTTTTAGAAAGATCTTTTATGAAAATGGCATTCAAAAGAATATGCACTTATACTCTTTTGTCATATATTTGGAATATTCCTTTTTTAAATATGCTGATCAACATTAAAAGTATAATCTCCTTACAAAGGATTAATCCATGTGATTTGAGACAAATATATAATAATAATAATAATAATAATAATAATAATAATAATAATAATAATAATAATAATAATAATAAAAAAAAAGTTGGAAGGGACCTTGGAGGTCATCTAGTCCAACCCCATTTCAGACAACTAGCTGTCCAGTCTCTTCTTAAAAACTTCCAGTGTTGGGAGCATTCACCACTTCTGGAGGCAGGTTGTTCCACTGGTTAATTGTTCTAACTGTCAGGAAGTTTCTCCTTAATTCTAAGTTGCTTCTCTCCTTGATTAGTTTCCATCCGTTGCTTCTTGTCCTGCCTTCAGGCGCTTTGGAGAATAGCTTGGCTCCTTCTTCTTTGTGGCAGCCCCTGAGATATTGGAACATGGCTATCATGTCCCCCCTCGTCCTTCTCTTCGTTAAACTAGACATACCCAATTCCAGCAACCGTTCCTTATATGTTTTAGCCTCCAGTCCCCTAATCATCTTTGTTGCTCTTCTCTGTACTCTTTCTAGGGTCTCAACATTTTTTTACATTGTGGTGACCAAAACTGGATGCAGTATTCCAAGTGTGGCCTTATCAAGGCATTGTAAAGTGGCATTAATACTTCACGTGATCTTGATTCTATCCCTCTGTTAATGTAGCCTAGCACTGTGTTGGCTTTTTTGGCAGCTGCAGCACACTGCTGGCTCATATTAAAGTGATTGTCCACTAGGACTCTGAGATCCCTCTCAAAGTTACTACTATTGAGCAAGGTACCACCTATACTATACCTGTACATTTGGTTTTTTCTTGCCTAAATGTAGAACCTTATTTTTTTCACCATTGGATTTCATTTTGTTAGATAGCGCCCAGTGTTCAAGTCTGTCCAGATCTTCCTGTATCTTAAGCCTGTCTTCTGGAGTGTTGGCTATTCCTGCCAACTTGGTGTCGTCTGCAAATTTGATGAGTTCCCCATCTATCCCCTCGTCCAAATAGTTGATGAAGATGTTGAAGAGCACTGGGCTTAGAACGCATCCCTGGGGCACCCCACTACACACTTCTCTTCAAGTAGATGCAGTTCCATTGACAACCACATGCTGAGTATGGCTGGTCAGCCAGCTATGAATCCACATTTTCTGTCTTATCAAGTAGTAGGTTGTGGTCTACTTTATCAAATGCCTTACTGAAGTCCAAGTAAATTATACCCACAACATTCATCTGGTCCACTAATTTTGTCACTTGGTCAAAGAATGCAATAAGATTTGTCTGGCATGATCTGTTTTTGACAAATCCATGTTGGCTTTTGGTAATGACTTTGTTTGCCTCTAGGTGTTCGCTGATTCATTGCTTGATTATCTTTTCCAGAATATTCCCAGGTATTGAGGTCAGGCTGATAGGTCTGTAGTTTCTTGGATCCATTTTTTTCCTGATTGGTGTCTAAATAATTCATTTCACCCAGGAACCTCTGGACAGCTGCATAACAACCTTCTCAACAACCTTCCCCCAAAAAGGAAGATTGGAGACACGTTAAAAATTATCCCACAGGGTGGAACCCAGCAATGACTTGTTAAGAAGAAGCCTCCTTAAAATGCTACCCCTCCTGCAGGGAAGCATTAATCACACCAGACCCCACCTCCTGGGAAGCTTTCACAGGTGGTTTACTTTGTCAAATGCCTCACTGAAGTACAAATATATTATGTTCATAGCATTTTGCTGGTCCACTTTTTCCCCCTTTTTTGAAGATTGGAACTACATCAGCTGTTTTCCAGTCCTCTGGTAGTTCCCCAGTGCTCCAGGATCTTTGAAAAATATAGTTCAGTGGTTCTGAGATCACATCTGCCAGTTCCTGTAACTTTAATACAGCTATTAAAAATTAATTTTTAAGTGAAACGTACATCATTTCACTAAAATGTAGAGGTCTATTACAGATAAATCCTCCTCTGGATAGTACATATATTAAGACAAACCATATACTTCATGTCTAATACCTTTAATTTAAATGTCAGAAAGCAAAAACAAGCTTTCAGATTTCAAAAGCCTTGTTTAGGTTAAATGCTACACAATCTTGCAAAAGAAACCAAAGCAAAACAACTTGGTGTAACAATCCTTGTAATCTGTCATTTCTGAAAGCTATGCTTTACTATTACTTACTTACTTTACTATTACTTACTATTACTGTACTTATTATACATTTTGAGAACTTGGCTTTTTTAGTTTTTTGCTACATATTTTTATTTGTATGGCTAGTTTAACATTTAAATCTATCAAGTGGTTGATAATGTATTGATTTAGTTGCATTTCTGAACCATGTTCTCCCATATTAATATAACTTAATAAACCCCACTCCCTTCTAGCACTGATGATGTTAGCTTGTTTGGTAATGAAGCATCTGAAGGTAAACAACCAAGGTCAGAGAGAACCACACAGCATATATTATTTATTTAATATTCTTAATAATATAATTATAAAATATTTATAATAACAATCAAAACTCCTAAGTTGTTATATTCTTTTATACTGTTTGAAATTAGTTCTCACATGATTTGAAGACTGGTACCTACATCAGGCTGGTACCACAAGGAATTGCTTTTAGCCCTTATATAAAGAGCAGCAGGAGAAAGAGGCATAAGAAATTTGAATACTCCTCCTCCTTGTAATATAAATAAAACTTGCATTTGATACTGAAGTCACTGAAATTCTTTATAATGGATTTATCATTTTGCTACAATAAAAATATTATTCCTGATTCTTCATGTCCTAATAAACATATTCTAGTAGTATTATGTCTTTGACAGAGACCTGACAACTATCCCTAAAACAATATCTCTGTAAGAAACTAGTACAAAGAATTTATGCTCCTAGTTTATTCTTAATGCAAGTAAAATCTTGTTTATAATCAGCTTTCTGGAGTATTTACTTACCCTCCTTTAATATAGTCGAGAAATGAAACTTCTGTTTCCACTAGGAAGGAAAGTAAAGTTACCTGAGAGCAAATGATACATAAGAAGTAATGAACATTAATTTTCAAAACAGCCATATAGATAAAGAACATCTATTTTTAGAATACTGAAATATTGTTTTAAATTAGAAAAGTTTACATTTATTTAAAACTTTCCGTTACACAGTAAAGTGAAACATTTTGTGGTGATCTTGGTATGTATCAGTAACAATTTTTTTCTCCACTTTACAAAATCCACAACTATTGAGAAGAGTCCTGTCATTTCCCTATTGACAGCTCTGTTTGGAGGATTTCACCTATCAATTCCGGCAATGCAAGCAAGGACTCAGACTATATGCCTCTGACCCTTGCAATATTGGCAGACAACCTCAAACTTCCTGGGAAATAGTGATCCAAAATAAACTGAGTCATTATGGTTTCACCAATAGTCAGATCAAACTAGATCAATACTATGACAAAGGATCTTAGATACAGAAATCAACAGAAATTGCTACTTTCTCTAATAACATAATTGCAAATCACTTAATGAGTGCCTAAACCAGACTCATGTTTACATCAATTAATATTTCCCAATTTAGGAGAGCCTTATTTTAACTCAATTTAATACTCTCCACACTGCTGTCTTGAAAGGGAAATATAGGAAAATTCCATATGAAACCCAGTGTTGTTCCTATGATATGGATACTACAGAAACCACAGCCCATGTTCTTCTGTATTGCCAAGTTCTACAGGGACAATAATAGTTTACCCCTTTTGTTTAAATTTTCAAGGTACTCAAACTTTTATTCTATTATCTATTAAACAATTAAAATAAATTTATTTCTCTAAAAATAGCAACACTTTGCTACATGTCGCTAATAGTTCTTGTTAGAGCATACTTTTTTGTATTGTTCAGTTTATTGAATGTACTTTTATTGATTAATGAGTGAAATAAAGTTTCTATCCGAAGGCATGCATGCATTTTTGTTTTCAGACACTACCAGGATTATCTCCTAAATTAATGTACTGTACTGCTTGGTCTAGCATTAATGATTGCCAACTGTGTAAATATTGAAACAAAACATGGCGAGACAAAACTTTAAAGTATAAGGTTATTATTACTAGTTTCACTTCACATATGTGAATAAGAATAATAGTACAGTTATCTGTTTTTGTTTCCTCAGAATAACTAAGTCATTTATATTAAATTTCTGAAAGGTTTTGGAAGAATTATTGGCTTCTGTTAAATGACATATTCATTGAAAGAGCTTCAAATTTTCACATATGAATTTTATTATTGATAATTTAACTTCTAGGAAATTACAGTTTCCTAAGTCAGAAAATTATTCAGGCTTTATATTTATTTCTAAGCATTTTAACCAGACTATGTTAACTCTTAAATGAAAATCTCAAAACTATATCAGACCAAGTCTTACTCACTATTTTTTAATATTTTGAGCAATCTAAATTCAGTGATGATAAATTTTGGAAGCTCCTTACGCAAATTCTTCCAGAATTTAACTGCAGTAATTGTAATGTGAATTTATATATTTATAGTTTTATTTTAATGTTGTAAGTGCCCTGAGTCAGCTTACACAGGATGGGCCAATTGCTCAGAACAACTTACATCCTGCAACAATATCTCCAACACCATAAAACATCCACATCTACTTATCCTAGGTCCTTGGGAAGGACTTGTTAGGTGGACAAAAATGGCACATCTGGCTGACTGCAACGAACCATAACTTACTTCAGGATACATACAAACGAGGGAAACGTAGTAATAAAAACCAGGCACTTAACTGTTCCTGAATTAACATACTTTTTCTTTTTTGCCTTTTTCTTTGGATTTATTACCTAGGAAGATAAGTAAATAAAGCATATTCAATATTAATGCAAGTTTTTTCTTGTTTCATACACCTTTAGAATGCAACTGAATCCCTTTAACATCCACTATACACACTTCCCCAAACAACTAGCTTTTCAAAAGCAAAGATGAATTTGCATGGGCTCCTTGGCTGCTACTATATCTTTTTCTTTGAAGTTAATTATAGGAAGGACTGGAAAGTAAGACGTAACAGGGAGAGGAGAGAGGGAATGAGAAAGTCAGTGGAAAAAAACTGGCCACTAATGCACCAAACAGAGCAGAGATGTATAATGTGTTATCCTAGGAGTACACATAACTTCCTGCACCACTGCATTCTATATCAGCTGAAGCTTTCAGATATTATTTAAAGCCTACTCCATGTAAAGCACATTACAGCAGTCCAATCTGGAGATGACTAGGGCGTAAATGACCGTGAACAGAGCAAGAATTGGGTGCAACTGGCATACAACCTAAAGCATCTCTCTATCCAGTCAGATCAATTTCTTATTGGTTTTCAATATTCTGGTTCCTAGCCAAGAAGCATCTTCAGTTCAGAAGCTTCTTGGATGAGAAGCAAAATATTTTCAAAGAAAAAAAAAAGAAAGTCCCGTTGCCCTTTGGAAAAAGCATCTTGGGGACAACAGCCAAAGACTGTTTTTACTTTTTCTCAATTTCTCAAATAAACTTTAAGTAAAGATTTGAGGTGATAAGTATTAATTTCTTAAAATAAGGAAATACACACACACACACACAGAGATAGAGAGAGAGAGGAGAGAGAGAGAGAGGAGAGAGAGAGAGAGAGAGAGAGCAATTTAATTCTTTACCTCATATACATTAAACTGTGACTGGCCTCTAGATAATTCCCTATAGCTTGTTGTGAATTCTCCAATAAAATCATGACTAGAAACACAAAGAAATATTCACATTAGTAGAATCAAGCATTACAATGACATACTGTATGTTAATATATTTATCTAGGTTATTTTAAATAAATTGTTCACAATTTTGGAGACTATAGATTTCAGTATTTCAAATCTCTATAAGCTTAATAATAAAAGCACAGGTCTTTCCAATGTTCATATTCTCAATGGTTTGCACTTGGCCACTAGTTGATCTTCTGTAATATCACACTGTTATCAAGAAACATTAAAGATTCTGTTCAAAAAGTACAGTGCTAATGTTTGAAGTAGCAAATTTTAGAGGGCTGCTGACCAAGAGACAATTAAGGCAGTGACCCATAAAATGCTTAGGTTGTGGAATAACCACTAATTGGACAGGGAGACAGAGCAGTTAATGGAGCTGAGAAATGTATGTATACTTAAATGAAAGAGCCAAAAGTCTGGTTATTAAGTCATTATTTTTTTTAAAGAACGGTCAAAAGCATCAAAGAAAGAAAGTTTGATTCTTGATAAAAATACCATCACATCAGGCATTTTTTCAAAAATTAACTAATTGCTAAAACAGGGGTCCCCAACCCCCACGTCCATGGCCTGTTAGGAACTGGGCCACACAGCTGGAGGTAAGCTGTGGGTGAACGAGCAAAACCTAAACTACCACCCACCCTGGTCTGTGGAAAAATTATCTTCCATGAAACTGGTTCCCTGGCGCCCAAAAGGTTGGGGTTCCCTGTGCTAAAAGAAATAAAAATCCAAAGCATGTCTCTCAAAAGTGAAGGGGCAAATGCATTTTATCAGGGTTTTTTTTCATACACCAGTATGCCCAGTGTAGAAGTACAGTGTATGTATGTATATATGTGTTTGTATTTGTATATGTGTATATAAATGACAGCAAAAGTAAGGAAACGGCAAGCAATAAGAGCTGCTAAGATTCATGTCTTTTCTATTAATATGCATATTCCCATCTTAAAGGTTTCAGTCAAATTAACTGATAAATGCACCTTCATAACACCCCAAATAGTTAGTATTAAAAATATAGGTAATGCTATATCTTCTATACATTTAGTGAAGTGCATATAATAATTACCTTCCATCTCTATCCCAGTCATACACTTCTACCTTAATTGTTCTGTAAAAAAATAAAGAAAACATTCTAGAGTAAAAAATACAATTATTTGAATTGTGCTATCACTGCCAGCCATTTCAAATTTAAAGGACAATATAATTCATTTATAAAATTCTCAAGATAAAATTCTCAAGATAAAATTCTCATAAAATTCTCTTTTATGAGGCAAGTATTAAGATGATATATAATTGAATCTAAAATCATTATAAAAAACCTTTAAAGTCAAACTAGTTACTCAAAGATCTTGCCAATTTTTCTTTGTTTGACTGAGAAAAAATATACATCTTACTTAACCTGTTTGATATTCCAAACGTGAGTATCCAAACTTAAGATACCACAGGGGAGAAGATACAGTAAAACCTCAGTTTTGTAGATCTCTCTTCAACAGATTTCAGATACAACAGACAGAATTTCAGATGAGATTTAATTTCCAAATAATAAAATCCACTGTTCTCAAAACAGTCTAGGCAACTGCTTTAATATATGTCATTTACATCTACTGATATCATTTATATAATTATGTACTTCACTTAATTTACATAAAATTATATACATAATACAAATGTTAAAAAATAAATGAAGTAAACTGATGCAAATGACATAAATTACATCAGTTGACTGGACTGATGTAAATACAAGTTTAATAAACACTTGGCTTTAACACAACTATTTTCCCCAAACTGGTCTATGTAACCTACATTTTATTGTAATGAAGGAATGAGATATTGTAAATATTTCATATTTTGTATTTTAAAAAACTGAAATACTAAACTTTTTAATTAAACAAATAAATTAATACATGGATAGGCATCAACCAAATCTTCAGGCATTGGCACAAAGCATTCAATATCTGTTCTTACTTATTTGGTAACTTTTAGCAGTCATTCTAATATTTTTATGACTTAGGGAGAAATAAGCATGGGTAGAATGTAAAAGGATCTACAGGCATATAATGTAAATAAATGATAGATGAACAAAACTACATAAGTGTAATGAAACAAAATATTTTTAATTAAATTGTATAAGTGAAAAAATAATAGAGATTTTCCCTACCTGAAAAACACATTTCTCTGAGGGTAGGTCCAGTTATCCCAACTTCTCATTCCATAGATGACTGACAGGCAGATGTAGCCATGAGGCAGATACTGCTGCTAGAGTACATAAAACTATCCGTATGATATTTTATAATATACTAAAAGAACACTCAGTTGGAAATATGTGGATTGTTGGATCTACTCTCAGAGAAATATTTTAGGGGCAGGAGCAAATTCTTCATGACAGCAATCATTCACAAGAATGAATATTAATACAATTGCTTAATACGAAGCCAGAGTTTATAAATTACAGTCATCTTGTAAGACTAATAAAGATCTCAGCCTCAGGTTTGCAGATCTCTTCATAAGAGGTCACAACCTATACTACTATTTCTACTTCGACAAGATGAAGGAATGTTTTCCCTGAAGGAATGTTTCATTGAATTTGTGTCATGAATAAAGAAATCAATGTTGTTAAAAATGGCTTTTACCTCTTTCTCATTTCCAAGTCAGATGAAGCCTATCAGCTTGTCCAGATTGGGTTCTTAAACATCAATAGATCATTTGGAGTCAAATGATTTACTGAGGAAGGCAGTTCAGGCATATAATAAATTAATGAAGCTGCTTCTGAGGAATTACGTCTAGCTACATTTAGTCACTAATGTCAAATGTTGTCTACATATATGGTTTACCATATTTGTTCATAAGTTTAAAGTTCAAAGTAACACAAAATGAAGGTGCGGAAAGCTATATATTTCAAACCTCAGAATATATTAGCATTTTGGGTAAGCATACTCTTTCTAGTCCATATCAATCTGAACTGTACCCATAATTTTACCTGGCCTGCTTTCAAAACGAAATATTTTAGTCTTTATTTCATGGTATTTCTTAATTTTCTTTAAAATAATATATTTTAAACAATATATCGTCTATTAATAATTATTGCTATCAGTTCTCCAAAATCAAAGACTTTATATTACAGACATGGCCATACCTTTTTTCAAGTCTGTTTCAGTTGAAAATTGGTTGGGACTCACAACTAATTTCCATGCAAAACCAAACTATTTAAACAATCATGATCTATAATAATTTGTACTTGTCTAGATAAATACTGAAAGACGTATTATCTTATGAACTGCACCTGAACAATTCATAGGATACTTTTAAATTAGTGATTTTTTGTTGTGCACTAGATTAATATTTTGCATTCCATAATGGATGGCACTTATAAAAAGCAAAGAAAACTGGCTAGTGAAAATGCTGTGCCTTTTAAAGAAAGCAGAAATCTGGCATATTAACTGAAGATGCCAAGTGTCCAGAGACAAATATGTGAGACTGAACAAGTCTCCTAAATATTTGTGTTTTTTTAAAAAAAATAAGGTTAATTTATATAATTCAGCATTTCTGCACTGAAAATATATTATAATTAATTTATCTCTCTGATTTGGGGGGAAAAAAATCTTTATTCTGACAATGAAATGAAGAAAAGGAAAGCCAGCAGATTTTCTATGCAAACATGTAACTCATTTTGTCAACTGCAAATGCTATTTTTTCTTCACTTGGTTTAGTTCAGAATACCTTGACAGACTGCTCTGAAACTTTCCTCCTCCATTCTGTGGCTTATAATGTAGCCTGACGTTTCACACTGAAGGTGGCAAAGGGGGAAGAGAAGATAGATCAGTTGAAGTAGCGATTGTATCAGTAATGTTGGCAATCACCTAAATTGAGTTTATTTATCAGAAGCACTGAATGTGGTACTCAAGATCCCTATCTCTTGATATGATAGATGTTAGGAAATGAATGAGAGTACCATGTATTTTGTTGAAGTTTCTTAGTCTTATTTTTACCCAATCTATTTTAAGCAAGAAGATATTTCCATAAAATTTAATAATATTTTGGCCTGAGGAAAGCATAATCATTAATGTTTACTTTTTAATATTACAGAGCAGTAATTAATATCTTAGTGTACTAGCAGCAGTAACTTCTTGTTTCCTGATATTTTGATTTTTATCTGCTTGTCAATCATCTGTGGAAAGAGTAGCATCTATTGTTATACTAACAATGATATATATTTCATTTAGGCTGTAGTCTTATGAATTATTATTATTATTATGGATTATTAGTTTTACATCTAAGTAAACATGTACATCAGATTGCGTTGTCAGGTATTCATGTTTAATTTAACAAGTAATAAAATATTAATATTTATTATGAATTCTAAATTTATAAAAGGATTTTTAAAAGTTTTTACAAGGATTCAAGTAAAATGAATGATCTTATAAGCATTTTGAAACATTTAAACAAAAATGGCTTCACTTACCTGTCATAATCTCCATTACAAAGTGCTCTGATCGATAACTTGAATGCCTGCCATACTGGATTTAAAGTGTTCTTTATAACTTCTGTCTTATGGCAGATTGTGAAACTAAAACAAACAAAATATTTATTTTACTTTGTATTTATTCAGTGCCTGCCATCAGAGAACAAACTCTGAAAAATGCGATGTCCCATAGTTTGAATGAACATTTGTAAATTAAAAAACCACGATCGGTGCAGAAGATAAATATGACAGAAGTCAAAGCAAGCAAAGCAGGGGATAAGATTTGTGGTAACTATTGAAAGGTTTTTATAGCTTTGGAGATGGTATCTAGTAATAACTGTTCCCTTTACTTAACATCACAACTTATCACTGGGGAATTACATATTCTTTCATAATCAACATGTTTAAATTACATAGAACACAGAATTGTCGGAAGGTTGGAAATGACCTCAGGGATCTTCTAATCCAACCCCCTGCCCATGGCAAGAGATCCTATACCAGGGGTAGGCAACCTTGGCTCTTTTATGACTCGTGGACTTCAACTCCCAGAATTCCTGAGCCAGCACGACTCAGCCTGGAAACCTCTCCCTTTCCCCTCAGCATGGCTGGCTCAGGAATTCTGGGAGTTGAAGTCCACGAGTCATAAAAGAGCCAAGGTTGCCTACCCCTGTCCTATACCATTCCTGTCAAATGGTTGTCCAGTCTATTTTTGAAAATCTCCAGTGATAGACCACTCACAACTCCAGAAGAAAGCGGTTCCATTGATTAATTGTTCTCTCAAAATATTTCTCCTTACTTCTAGGTTGGATCTCTCTTTAACAAGATTCTACCCATTACTTTTTGTTCTGTTCTCTAGTGCTTTATTAAATAAACCAATCCCCTCTTCTTTATGACAGTCCCTCAAGTACTAGAAGACAGTTATCATGTCCCCCCCTAATCCTTCTCTTTTATTGGCTAGAGACATACTAGCTCCCTCAACCGTTATATGATATAGCCTCTAGCCTCTTTATTATCTTTATTGCTCTTCTCTGTAAGCTTTCTAGAGTCTTAGCCTCTTTTTTTAATGTTGTTATAACCAGAACTGGACACAGTATTCCAAGTGTGGCCTTAACAGTGCAGTATAAAATGGTATTATAACTTCTCATGATTTTGATGCTATCCCTCTATTGATGCAGCTCAGGACTGCATTGGCTGGCCCACTGGAATACCTAGATCTCTCTTATTGATACTACCGTTTTTTACAGAGATAATTTAGAGGGATATTGATCCATAAAGAAAAGCTAATAACACTATGAAAGTAAAGAGAAATTTTCATAGACCACAAAGAGAATCCAGTAATCACTATTAAAGCTTCTAAGACTGAATATTTAGCAGAACGAATGAGAACATCTACCTGCCATCTTCATTGCTACGAAAAAATACCAGGAAGGGATCAGATTTCCCAAAAAAATCTTTCTTGTCTAATTTGTTTGCACAAAATTGCATCAAAACAGCTTCCTAAAAAAAAAAGGATAATAGAAAGATTAATTCATAAATCATGTGGAGGATGATTTACATAAAGAATGATAAGCACAATTTAATTTTTAATTTACTAATAACTTAGAATAAAGTTAAAATGAAGAATAAAGCTAATAAAAAAAAAAGTTCTTTAAAACATTTATTAGTTGCCGGGATTTTTATTACTAGGATGGAACAGTATCATACATTTTTAAGCCCAGGGTCACTATTTTCATTACCAAACTACGAATTAGGAGAAATGATTTCTTTCCTTTCTGCCAGTTATATATATACCATTATACTCATTTTACCATATCAGAGAATATCATTTTATTTTTTCAGTTTTTATCTGGCCCTCCTGTGGTATCATCTAAGAATGGAAATAGATGTTAAGAGCATATACTAATTACAATAAAATTCGTAGCAGAAAAATTACAAAAAGGTAGCAGCAAGAGGGAAAAGTTACAAGTGATATGGAAAAATAGACATATCAGACTCAGTGGTTACTGCAGGATCTATCGCAGCTCAAGGGGGGCAAGAGTGAATTTCTGAACTCTCTTTTGAGTAGCTGGGCAGATAACAAATTGAATCATGATATTCCCTGTTCATTCTCAGAAATAAAGATTGTTGAACGAAAACATCAGTGTGTTTTGATATGGAGTGAAATGTTGCTACATGCCCTAAGACAGTGATGGCGAACCTTTTAGAGACCGAGTGCCCCAAAACCGCCTTGCCCCTGCCCTGCCTCCGCCTCTTCTGCCCGCAGGGCCACCCACCGCCTCCACGGCCCACCACAGATCGCCCAGGCGGCCCAGCAGCGTCAAGGCGGCTACGCCCTCTGTCCACGCCCCACAGCATCATCTGCATGCGATGGGGTGCGAGGGCGGAGTCTTGTCCTCACTGCCCGGCTGCCATGTCCTTGGCTGCGCTGCTCTGTGCAGGCTGTGCCCGGGGTGACTCTCCTCCAGGGAAGCTGCTGGTAAGGAGGGGGTCACGGGGGGGTGGCAGGGCTGGGGCGACGGTGTGCGTGCGTTCCCACAGAGAGGGCTCTGAGTGCCGCCTCTGGCACGCGTGCCATAGGTTCGCCATCACTGCCCTAAGATAATTCCAAATTGAGAAAAGCATCCGAGGTCAGCAACCTCCTTCACTGAAGTAGCCAGAGGCCATGCTACCATTACTGCTGCCACTGCTAGAGGATCTATTGTTCCACCCACACTGAGGTGTCTGGTGAAGGCATCACCAAAACTATTCCCCCAAAGAGGCAGTGAGTGCTCTCTCTCCCGCTCTCTCTTTTGTGAGCTGGATAAATATATTTCTTTTTGGCACCATTGGCTGGATAATTTCGGATTAACAGGTGACTTCTGCTTTTCCAATCCTGATGCAATACTGTGGATTTGCAGCAGCTCGTAATGCAATGAAACAGAATTGTAATTCAGCAGTCATCTAGAAAATAATGCTGATATTCAGAAGAAGCTTCTTTTGGTTTGTGGATGCTTCCAATGTAAAGATTAAAAGTGAAAAGCACCAAACAGTGCTCCTAGGATACATCTAATCAGAGCATGATGGGGCTAAGATCTGAACTTTTTATTTTATTTTTCTGGTCTTAGTGAATCTTTTCAACTTTAGAGAGCCATTATCTTTTTAGGGAATTGGTTGCTATTGCAAAGAATTATAGTCAAAGGTGAAAGTGTTTTTATTAATTCCAGTTAACTATTAGAAAACACTTTCCTTAGTTTCTTCCTTCCCTCTCTACCTTTCATCCATTAGCTCAAGGCACTGTGTACCACGTGCCTCCCTTCTATTTTTCCCTACAACAATCCTGTGATGTAAGGTTGAGCTGACAGATAATGACTGGCAATGCCACACAGTGAACCAAAATTATTAATTTACCCGGCAACAGTTCAGTTCCTCTGCTGTCAGTATTATTGTGCCACATTTTTTCCCAGGAATTCCTCTGTAAAAAAAAAAATCATATAAGTAACTGAAATATAAATGTAAAGAAAGTTTCCAAACAAATAGAACATTAGGTGATTTTTATCAGACTTCTTTGCTCTTTCATATACAGTTCAATAGTACTAACATATGTACTTTTTCCCTAGTTGAAAGGACAGGAAAGAAAAAAAGAAAGATAATGTACTACTGACCTACAATTCTTGAATTTAAATTTTTCCCATGCTTCAAATATTTGGAGCTAATCAACTAAGATAGGCTCACAGAGAAGTTGCAAGCAAACTTAGTAGGGTAGGTCCATGCCTTACATGGCACAGAAATAGTGGGTGTCAATTTACCATTTTTCTGCTTTCTGGGGCACAAAGTGCCTTTTCTTTAAAGTGAAGACTTTCTTGATTTCTTTTTCTTAAAAAAACCAACATAACTAATTTTTAAAAAGTGGGAGGATGTAGGTTGAATAATCACAGCACTCATACTACGCTTAATGTATCACAAGTGCTTTGTTTATTTATTTATTACATTTAGGAAGACACACTCTACGTGTCAATACAAAAACACATTTAAGTTACTATGAAAGAAAAGTTAAAAATTAAAAAAAAACTATAGCAATGATAGTGTGATTACATAAAACAATCTTTCCTGCTTATATAAAGCAGAGTAAGAGAAAATGTTCTTCAATTAGGGAAGACTGCAAATATATAAATAATTTATAGTAATGCACTTAATCAGACTAGATGTGAGTACCTTAACACAGGGGTTTCCAAGGCCCAATCCGTGAACCAGTACCGGTCTGTGGCATGCCAGCAACCAGTCCACACAAACAAGCAAAGCCCCATTCGTGGGATGCAGGCAGCACACAAAACCATGCACACCCCCCCCCGGTCTGTGGAAAAACCTCTCTCCATGGAACCGGTCCCTGGTGCCCAAAAGGTTGGGGATCTCTGCCTTAACAACCATAACACATCCTTATAGCAAATGTATGATACATTAAAAATAAAGATAAAGAAGTCCCTACAGATTTTACTCCATTAGTCACTGCTGACTATAGGGGCTGATTCTCATCTCTGTTTCAAGGCCATTGAGCCAGCACTATCCAAAGACACTTCTACAGTCATGTGGCCAGCATGATGTCACAGAGTGCTATTACCTTCCACCAACGTGGTATCTATTTATCTACTGATAAGTTGGTAGGTGTTGGATGGCACTCAGGTCTCAAACCTGGGCTGCCGGCTTTCCACCCACCAAGTTCAACGTCTTACTTGCTGAGCCACTGCCCCCCTGTATAATACATTATCTATAATAAAATAGCTACTGGGTAAACTTCTATTGGACAGTTTTGTGCAGTGATAGAAAAATGTACTAATGTTATTAACTTCACATTCCCCAGAACACCTTACAACAATGCAACCTTTAGGGAAAGCCAATAAATCAATAAGGTCTTATAGGACTACAGGGAAGGAAGAATACTTTTCTTTTACTATGATGGCCGAACTGCCTGACTCGCTATATTTATCAGCCTCTGTTACTTTCCAAATAAATAGATAAATAAATGCCCAATATTCCCCATTGAATGTCTAATAATATACGTGTTTTTTTAAAAAAATCTTTGACTACTTCTTTATATCCATAATTTGTCCAATAGCTTAAAACGTAATTCAAGACCACTTTTTTTGTTTGTTTCAATGATGGGAAGTTAAGGCTGAGAAGAGATTTTCAATAACTCTACCACATAATCTATTACTTTAAAGGCTACAAAGCAACTGAATATAGCAGTGATCTCAGAAACGATGTAAGCAGCACAAAATGGATCAAACCAAAAACTGGAAATGAACACAAAGTCAGGCTACTCAGTCCAATCCTTCTTTCAGACATATCCAAAAGCATGCAACAAGCAAAGAAAGCAAGAACAATAAAACAAAGAACATCCCATGAAAATATACAAAGCAACACTTAGGAGCATGCCCAGGGAATTAAGATTAAGATTATGATGCGGCAGTAAACAAGGGAAAATGACACTGAGACATGATTATGTATATTGTGTATAAGTTGTATATATAAATACTGCAACATATGAAAACATACTGCATAAAAACAGCACTATAGCATAGGACAGTGATGGCGAACCTTTTAGAGACCGAGTGCCCAAACTGCAACCCAAAACCCACTTATACATCGTCGGGTGCTGGGTGGGTGTGGCCCACTGGGTGGGCGTGGCTGCGGTGGTAATGGCAGACTGGCTGGCCTAAAAAGTTCAATCAATCAATTCCAACTTTGCAAGATCTTTTTTTTTCCCGCGAGAAGTTGAAATTGACTGATTGAACCTTTTTTTTTTTTACACATGGCGGCGGAGGCCTAAAGTGAAAAGGTTTTATAAAACCCAGCTGAAAGCCTAGGACTGGGGCGACGGCACACGTGCCCACAGAGAGGGCTCTGAGTGCCGCCTCTGGCACCCGTGCCATAGGTTCGCCACCACTGGCATAGGAAATAAAGATGTGCAGGAATGCAGTAAACACAAATACAGATAGTCAGCAAAGACTTCCTATATGCTGACAACATGCAAGGGGCCCAGTACATATAAGCATTAAGATTGGCATAACAGTACAGATAGTCTTTGTTTAGCAACCATAATTGGGACTGCCAAGTCATTAAGTGGCTGCTTATGACTACAATTGGGATAGGAATCTCAGTTGTTGAGTGAAGTGGTTGTTAAATGAAACACTGTGACTTCATTCAACAACCTCAATCCTAGCTCTCCCAGTTGCGGTCATTAAGCTCTCCCAGTTGTGGTCATCATGCAGGAGTGCCTCAGGAGGTAAGAGAGACCCTGGGAAGCCCAGTGCTTACTGATATGTGGAAACTTGCCATGGGCTGGGAGGCCTTGGCTGGCTACGGGACCCACCAGTATGCAGAAATCTCTTCAGGCCAGGAGACCCTTGTGTTCTACTCATCCCACCATATCCAGGTCCAATTACATTTGCCATTTTCTGCAGCTACTAACAGGTGCACACAGCCAATGGGAGGTGCAGCTAGAAACCTAGTGAACATGATCTCTTTGAAGGCTAGAAAAGTAGAGTAGAAAGTGTCTTCTAGCCTTCACAAAGATCCCAAATACTAGCTTTATAGATATGCCTTGCATTGGTGGAGCCTGCCTATCCACAGCTGCAGAAAAAGGCAAAGATAAGTGGAGCCGGGCATGATTGGATGGGAGAGGCCCAGGGCATGGTAGTGTGGGGAGAGGGCCTGATGAGGTAGGGAGAAATAGCCAGTGAGCAGGCCGAGGCCTCCAGATCCATCGTAACTTTATGCATGCTGGTGAATGGCTGAGATGGGCAGAGATAAGTAAGTGGCAGGAATTGCAGCATGATTCAGTGGGGCACAAATGCCAAGGGCCCAAATTTTAATCACATGACCATGGGGCTGTTGCAAAGGCTGTATTTTTGGGCATAGGTTGAAACTCCGTTCATTCATTGCCACTGTACAAAAGGACTACCTGTGCTTCAGCTCTTCTTTGCTCTACAGACTTGCAAAGATTATAAGTACGAGGTCTGGTTGCAAAGTTGCTTTCTGAGTACCATTCTATTGGTCACCAAATGAGTCAGTCACTAAATGAGGACTACCTGTACAGCACTTGAAAAGATATCCAGCCACAATAAATGTCTATAAACTATAAGCAGCAATATGTACCAGAGTCGCTTTGCAGAATGAGATGGGCAGCATATAAGTGTAATAAATAAATAAAGGTATCACACACAGTCCCATAGCAATATATAATGTCACATCAAAGCATATGTATGCAACAATACATAATCATTCCAAATGAAAGCAGCAGCTAGTCTCCCTCCACCAACAAATACACACTTCTTTAGCCTACTTAGATCAGCCATTTTTACTTTGGCAACCAGGTTCCACCAAGGAAGTTTCAATCTGCCAAACAGATAACTTACTTTTACTATTCATGGACTTATTTAAAACATTTATTTCACAGCAATAGGAATGTATCTTTATCTAGGGAGAAGTACTCTAGTTTCTGATTTTTTTGACATTATATACATTTATATAATGTTTTATTTATGTAACATATGACAAAAAGAAAATATTTTTAAATGTTTGAATTTATTTTAGATACTTAAATTCTTCATGTAACTGTATTTTAGGCAGCTATATTTTACAATGCAATTTTAAAAATCAAGACAAAGGTATCATACATTCAAAACCAAGTCAACAATTAAATTTCATCGGACAGGAAAGGGAATTGGAAGGGAATTCTATACCTACAGGATTTGAAATGAAAAAGTCCCCTCTGTTTGAGTGAGAAAACAACTATCTCAAACAACGACTTTGTTGGGATATAATTATTACCTGTAATTTCAGATCAGTGGAGTCCTTAGTGCTCCCTGAGCTTGGCTGTTTTCAGTGCTGATGATGTTGCCTAGTTTGGTAATAAAACATCTGCAAGAAAACCACCAGGTTCAGAGAGCACCGAGCACCCCACAATTCAATTTGAGCTACAAATATTCTCTTCTATCAGTTTCAGATCAACATTATGAAAACAAGTAAACATTATGAAAATGTTATGAAAACAACACCGGGCTTGTAACAACATAGCACTACTAAATCTGTATCTTTAAAAATGTACTTACATAACTGGCTTTTCTAATCTGCTTCCTTGTGACCCAACGATTTCTCCTAGTGTACAGAACACTTGTCCCAAGAAATCCTGAAAAACCGCACAAAGTTATGGAGCTTAGACATTGTTCCATCTGCAGTATTCCATCCACATTCGCTACATTTATCAGCACAAGAAACGCAATACTTATGAACAATTTAGTTATAAATTCATAATTAGGAATAATTAAATTAAGCCACTCAAGGTCACTTTAAAAGTGAGGTGAGTGGCATATAAATTTAATAAATAAATGAATAAAACAAATTATTTCTGGATGCAAGAATTGTAGTTTATGAGTACAGAATGAGCATGGGTAAATCAAGAGTCAATGTACATACTCACTGTTCTCAGTACCTTCCAACTATGTACATAAAATTTGCTACAGATATTACTAATTTGAATGGAACACATTACCACATTTTATCTGAAAACAAAAAAGGTTCATATACTTTTTAAAGACACATAAAGTGGCAAGCTTTAAACCAGGGGTGTCAAACTCAATTTCATTGAGGGCCGCATCAGCATTGTGGTTGCCCTCGGGGGGCCGGGTGGGTGTAGCCAAGGTGGGTGCAGCCTACTAGTGGGTGTGGATAGAGTGGGTGTGGCCTCCTGGGTGGGCATGGCCAGCTCTATATCGTTCGCGTCAAGGGTGCCTGTGGGGGCCTGGGCAGGAGTGGGACAGATCTGAGGGTCTCTGGCAGAAGGGGGTGGGATCGGGGCAAGCACCAAGGCATGGTTGATTTCTTCATTCCTCACAAAGGGTGACACCTCCCCAGCATGCACCCAGGGGACGGGGGCAACGCAGCAGGGGCTGGTTCCTCGCTGTTTCTAGACGGCCTTGTGGAGCTAAGACTGAATACGTTTCAGCATAGATGGCACCACAAAATTGTACATTTTGCCAGGGCCAAGGCAGTGGAGGCCGTTCCCTCACTGTTTCCAGGATGGCTTCGCGGGCCACATGAAGCCACTTCGCAGGCCACATCCGGCCCCCGGGCCTTGTGTTTGACATGTCTGCTTTAAACTAATACCTGCTCCAACATCTCACTTCATCCCTACCTCATAATCTTTCTTGTGAATTTCATTCCAGTTTGATAGAATATAAATATTTTGTTTTCCAAGGGGACCTCAGATTCCCTCAGTAAACTCCAGAGCCCCAGGCTTAGAAATTAATTCAAAATGCTAATTTTGTGTAAATCAATATGATGTTCCCATGTGATGAACCAGATTCTCCTCCCACATTTTTTCATTGTTTAAGCCAGTATTGACTCCTGGAGGCTGCCTGGGCAAGTTTTCTTGGCAGTATTTTTGGAAGTGGTTTGCAACTGCCTTCTTCCTATAACTGAGAGGATGATTGACTCAAAATCACCCAGATACCTTTGTGCCTAAGTTGAGACTAATTTCTAGTCTGTGCCTTAATCACTATACCCAACTGGCTCCCAGATTCCCAATTAACAAAAAATACTATATGGATAAATTTGTAAATTAACACACTTACATGCTTTGAAAGGTTTGGACTCTTAGAATCAACATCATACCTATAAAGAAAAGATATATTCACTTTATTCACTCTAATATTTTAAAGCAAAAATATTTAAGGACATACTGGAGTTTGCAGGTACTTGCATCCTAAAGTTACAGTATATAGTAAGAGAGACAATTAATAAGATAACCTACTATGTGTGAAACCTGCTTTCCAGTTTTAACTTAACCTTGCATCCAGTGGTTAAATCAATTATGTATCTCCAAAACGGAAAACCAGCCAACAAACAAAAAGCGATAAACAACATGCATAACACAAATAGGAAGTAAGTGGAAATCCCTGATTCTAACTGGCATTCCAGTGCATTTGGCAGAACACAAAAGATATAATTATGAAATCTTGTTTGTTTTCTGATTTGTACTCTGCTAAGATTATAGTATCTATTTAAGTATTGCTTCACAACTTTAGTACAAAGCCCACTGGAAATGCATTAAAAAAGATAACAAAAACTGGATGGGCTTTTGAACATTTAAACTAAGCTTCTCATACAAAGTTAGAATCAGAAACTCCAAGTCTTATTTATAACTTATTTAACAAGAAAAATATTTTGTGGTATTGTATTCTATTTTTCAATTTGGGAAATATACTCTGCCAAAACTGATTTTATAAAACAAAAAGATACTGGTAATGTTTTTGAGTTTAATTCTACAAACCTGTGCAAACATTGCATAGTAAGAGCATAGAGTTCATTTCTGACTCTTATCACTTAAATTGTCTTTATCTTTTGGCAAAAGAAACAACAGATTGTGGTAATATGGTTTCATATATTACCTGCTACATTTTTGTGAGATACATAAGAAATAATTTCTGCTGTTATTTCTGATAAATTGATACATCTTGACTTGCCTGCAGCACAGGACAGTTTTCACACTGTCTTAACCTGGAAATATACTACAAAATAGTGAAAACTAGGATTTTAGAAAATATTTTTTTACTGCAGATTATATTTTTAAAAATCAGTTCAGCAATTTATTACAATTTAAACTGCTATAATAAAATATGACTTATCTAATACAAGTAGTTTACTGACAAAATAGTCCCGGTATCTGTACTATTCTGATAATGAATACACTTATATTATCAAAATCCAAGTTTATTAGTAAACTTACAAATCAAATCGCAGGTTCTGTCTCTCCTCAAAAAAGTAATCCATTATAAATTTTCTTACGAAATCTGGGTTCAAAGTGTTGTCAATTACTTCTGTTCTTCCAAACTATAAAATAATATTTTAAAGAAAGTGCATCAGTATATAATTATCTTTCTGTACATGTACACCTCAAGTAAAAATACCAAATAAAAATATGAATATATATGAACAAATCATGGGCCAGTTTAAAGGAGATAAAAGAGAAAATGAGAGACTTTAATTAAAATGTACTAGTAGAGAAACTTTCAATCCTTACAGAAATAAGTATTCTCAGAACCTATTCCCAAATATTTATCTGATCTATGTAATAGGTTAATATTATTCTTCTACTTAAATCCAAAAATGACTGCAAAGGGGTCTAATAAGAAAAAGTTGTTGTCCAATTTGCTTCAAATTATGCTTTTGCTAAATATTCAGATTTCATTAAGAAGTCATTTATCCCAGTCTGTCACCTTTTTATCATGATGATGTGAAAATGATGAAAATCACCTTAAGATATCACAGTGTAAATCCTGGCCTTTCATATTTTCCTCCAAACAATGGACACAAGTAGGTAAATTATTACATTGCAACACATATTTCATTATTTATTTATTTACAATTATTTGTATACCACCAGTTCAAGGGAATCTAGACAGCTTACAATAATATATATTTATAATATCCTTAATATCCAAACATTTTTCAAAATAAATCTATTAAGACCAATGTTGTCTTCCAATTCCATCCCCCAAAGCCCAATGGAATAGATTATTTCTAAAGGCTAAAAGTGTGAGGCCAGTCTAACCTTATGGAGAGAGGTGATCTAAAATAATGTTACAGAGAATGTTATTTTATAGGTTCCTACTCTCTGATCTTTCTAGGGGTTCACACCTATAGCATTGCTTCCCAGGCATCACAGGAAATTTCTACCTTCTGGAGAGCCAAGGCCCAAATCCTCTACAGCAAATATTTAATACTATGAATTAGTCCCAGAAACCTATCAGTAATCAGTTCAGCATTTAATAGAATAGGTGTTATTCAACTTAACCGGATATTTCCTGTCAGCAAGTAGTTGCATTCTGAAGCTTCTAGGCACAACTGGTGACCCTGCCAAAATTGTCCAAAGACGTTTCTAGGCATGGTGTGCCAGAAGAACATCTTTCGCATCTCCTGGGCAAGTGCATCTGAAGATAGGGTAACCTGTACAATACTAAACTTTTTCCAGCCTTCAACCTCATGCTCAAATCTTGTGCTGCATGATATATAAATAGAGCCAGTTGTGAGGGAATGGCTGTGATCTGTGCTTTGCAGCCAGGCAGAAATGTTTCCCACCTTCACTTCCCTCATGCAGTCATACATTCCCTCACAACTATCTCACAAGCCTGCAAGCTAGTGTTCCAGCTGCCTATGATAACTGAGCCACACCCTGGCATTTTCAAGGACTTGCCAACATCCAGAAGCAGACTGACCCTCGCCCCCCCCCGCTCTTAGCTTACAAATGCAAATGCTAAGGTAGAATAGAAAAAAAGGGATGTAGGAGGAAAGGAATTGCAAACAGGGCTCAGTACTCTTTAACATCTTCATGAATGATCTAGAACAGTGGTTCTCAACCTTTTTAATGCCGCGACCCCAACCGGTCGTAAGTCGAGGACTAAACCGGTCGTAAGTCGAGGACTAAACCGGTCGTAAGTCGAGGACTACCCAACCGGTCGTACGTCGAGGACTTTCCCTGCCCGGGAGCGCCACGCATGCGTGGTTCTGCCCCCTGCGCCGGCCGAGGCGTAGCTGGCAAGCGGCAGAGACGGAGCAGGCCGACCACCAGCTGGCCCAGCCCAAGGGAGGTAAGGCACCCGCCGGAAAAGGGGAAAAAAATGGCGGACAAAAAAAATGGAGGACAAAAAAAATGGCGGACAGCCTTGCTTGGCGACCCCCGTGAAATGGTCAATCGACCCCAAATGGGGTCCCGACCCACAGGTTGAGAACCACTGATCTAGAAGGAGAATGTACCAAATTTGCAGACGACACCAAGCTGGGGGGAACACCTAATACTTTGGAAGATAGACTCAAGATTCAGAAGGATCTTGACAGACTTGAGCACTGGGCGCTATCCAACAAGATGCAGTTCAGTAGTGAGAAAAGTAAGGTCCTGCACTTAGGCAGGAAAAACCAAATGCACAGGTACAGAATAGGTGGTACCTGGTTCAGAAGTAGTAAATGTGAAAGAGATCTAGGTGTCCTAATGGACTACCACTTAAATATGAGCCAGCAGTGTGTCTAATTTAACAAAGAGAAATACTGGGTATGATAGTCTTCCAGAGTGCAGGACAAGAAGTAATTGGTGGAAGCTTAAAGAGAGATATAGCTTAGAACTAAGGAGAAATTTCCTGACAATGAGAGCAATTACCAATGAAAGAGCTTGCCTCCTGGAGTTGTGGAGGTTTTCAATAATAGACTGGACAACCGGCATAGCCATTCTCCTGCCTTCCTGCTCAGATTTGACTAGAAGACCTTCAAGGTCCCATCCAGCTCTATGATTCTATGTTCTATTGGCAGCTATTTCAAACAACAAGTCAACTGCCAGGACCACAAACTGCGGTGAACAACATATCCTGGAGGGAGTCCTGCTTGGAGTTTTGCCTGGACTTGGTAACAACTAGAAAAGGACCACAACTCATTGCAACTAGTGCAAGAACATTTGGAAAAAGAAAAAAGATTGTATGCTACTTAATAGATTTTGAGTCTTTTGTTTGAACTGAGTGTTAGAGACTGAGTATAAAGGATTCAAGACATTTACATGGCGGCAACAACAACTTGCAAAACCTAGAAGGGTAGAGTTAACCCCAAGCAATATCCTGTTATTGGGGAAGTTGTAATAAAGTATTTGTGTATACATTTGCTATGCTGGTCCTTGCCAGTTCTTGGAAAGCAAAGAATTCTCACACCAGTACATATTACTTTTATATGACAGTACTCAACTACTATATATAACATTACCTCTCTCCATTCTTTATTTCCCATCCCTTGGGTGTACAAAACACAAACTGCAGAAGAGAAGAAAAAACAATCAATATAAAAAATGTATGCAAATGAACATTCCATTATAGACTAATATTTAAGATATAATATTAGGCAGATGTTAAAATTACATAACACAAATTATATTTAAGAGTTAATGAACTGAAATTCATATCTGGGATTTGAATATTTGTATGTAGTTTTATTTGTTTATTTATATATATATATACAGATAATTGTATTTTTTAAAAATAGGCATCTGAGTCAGAATTTAATGTATACTAAAAAACACTCAAATTTACCAGAATTATCCATTCCTGTTAACTTGACACTTGAGTATACAATTCACAGGCTGTATGCCTCCCCCGAGGAAGAGCCCATAGAGAGAACAAAGACCCCTCCCCAGATTTCACGGAAAATAGATTTATTTTAGAAATTTCAAAGTTCAACACTTGTCTACTGCACTGGGGCATAAAGGGGGGAATGATAATCTTGGCTTAGTCTACTTTTTTATTTTATCCCTTCCACACTAAACATGGCCTACTACAGTCAGCCATAAAAACTACTGCCAATCCCTTACATCACTTTTTAAAAGTGTCATTTTAACTATAAAAATATAATATATTATATTGTATACATATAATAAATATATGTAATATATTTTATTGTACAACAGTAAAGGAAAGAGACTTAAATGGAAAACAGTGGCTACATTAATTTTAAGGCTGAATGTAATAGAATTCATGCTTCTACTGAGATTTGTCTCTTGACAAGCTTCTCTATTTTTAACATCTTGATTGTTATATATTAAAAATAAAAAAAACATTTCTTGGTGCTCTCTGAGCTTGCTTGTTTTCTTGCAGATGTTTCATTACCCAAACTAGGTAACATCATCAGTGCTAGTGATGATGTTACCTAGTTTGAGTAATGAAACATCTGCAAGAAAGCAAGCAAGCTCAGAGAGCACCAAGGACCCCTCACGTCAATCCTGAGCTACAAATATTCTCCTTTATTAAAAAATACTTCATAGCCTACTTTATCAATTTTGGTAAACAAAATAGGCCTTGTAAAACAGACATAAAATATCCACAATTTCTTTTTCAAGCTTTCATATCTCTAAGCACAGCCTACCACAAAACTGCATTCAAATAGGTCCTGGTGTTCAATCAGCCAATCAATATCTGGTTTTTAAATTCCTACAGTAAAATCTCAATTCAACAGTGCATTTCAGGGAAGGGGTATCTGAAATGATACTTTTGTAATGAACATTATTTATGCAAATAATATACATTATTTATGCATTATCTCTTCACTGCCTTATTCCAAAAGGGGAATACCAAAATAATACTTACTTGGATCAGATTTTGAAAATGTATCTCTATCCAAAAGGTTCCTATTAATAAAACAAAATAAAATGATATTTTTGTTAAAACATTTTACTCAGTCTGCATACATAAGGCTTTTAAGAAGAGACTGGATAACCATTTATCAGAAATAGTATAGTCTCCTGAGAGAACAGGGGGTTGGACTAGATCAGCGGTCCCCAACCTTTCTAGTTTGGTGGTCTGGTAGGGGGGAGACAGGACGGTTCCATGTGAGCGGCAGGTGTATGTGCGTCACTTGCAGAAGTGGAGCTGTATACGCTCACCACTTGCACAGATCATGGCCCAGGGGTTGGACACCCCTGGACTAGATGACCTCCAAGGTACCTTCCAACACTGTCACTGTTACAAAAAAAGAGCTATTTTACACCTATGCCCAGAGAAGCAGAATGGAAATATCATTTCTGTAAGGGTTAAAATAAAGGCAAAACACATTTAAATTGCAGCTACCATATGGCCCAGCAGTTGGGTATGGGCTCTTATTAAGGAAAATGTACCGGTATATGCTTGAAACATATAGCAATGGATAGCAATGAAACATATAGCAATGATAGTCTTCTATTGTTGCTCCTATGAATTGGGTAATGTACAAAGGAATCATGGAAACTGACGCACTGTAGGAATTGAAATACTTGAAACGTAGTGAGATTACTCAGTGCATGTATAAATACTAAGAGCCAATAACTTAGAAGAGACACCAAATAAGTAGTCGGAGGTGGAAGAACGAAACAACAGATGCCATACATTTATTTTAAACAACTCCGAAAAGACACACAGTTAGGCACTAAAGTGGTAAATGTATCTGTAATGAGGGAAGAGGTGTCCTTGGGATCGAACCAGCCCCTCCAGTGAGGTCCTTCTGTTCTGTGGTAACTTGCATCTGTGGGTGAACAGCGACTGGCAAGTTAAGTCTCCTTGCTGGCACTCCCCTTCTCTTTTGCTATAAATCTTTTTTCTTTCCACACCAGCCATCTGGGGAAACAGGAGAGGACTGAAGGGGAAAACCTCTCCTAATGTGGGTCTTGGCTTAATCCAAAAAATAAACTGAAACAAAAACTTTGGGAGTCTGTAGTTCAGGCAAGCTGAAGCAGGTGCTACAAGGCAACAGATCAATTCCAGACATATACACACATACAACACCAACACACACACACACACACACACTCACGCACACTGCAAATCCATAGGCATGAGCTATTTCTTTTAAAAATTTTATTTTATTCATGTAAATGTATTGGCTGCCTAACTCCAGTGGATTCTGGGTGGCGCAAAAACAGCAAGAAACATTAAATCAACAGATTGGTGGTCATATGCCTCACCAAATTTTTCTGTCAGATCAGTGGCAGAATGCTCCTGAATTGGGGGAAGATATTGGTTTCTCCTGTCATGGTCAGACCATCCCTGGTGAGCCTTCAATTGTCTGGCACATACCTCTGCAAGGAGGCTACACCTGTTAGATTGGCGCACCCCAGATGACTAATGGACCCAGCTTGGGGTTGTTCTGGGAAACCTGCTACATGCTCTCATCAAAGCCTTGGTGCTGCATGAAATGGGAGAGGGGCCATAGCCTTGGATCAGATTGCACTTGATTGGTCTCTCTGTGCACATGATTCCCAGCAATCTCCATGATATACAGAGGAGCTGAGGGAGCTAAAGAAGGCTAAGAGATGTCTACAGTGCCACTGGCAAATGATGGGAAGTGAATTCAATTGAACATGAACTGGAACTGCTATCAGAGCCTATCTTATGGTGGTAAGGGCAGCAAAACATGTTTATTTCTATGCATTAATAAATTCACAGAGATTTCCCCAGCAACCCTATTTAGGTGACTCAGTCCCTCTTCTTAAAACCTCGAGAGATGAAGCACCCACAACATCTGAAGGCAAGCTGTTTCACTGATTATTTGTCCTCACTGTTAGGAAGTTTCTCCTTAATTCCAGGTTGCTTCTCTCCTTGATTAGTTTCCATCCGTTGTTTCTTGTCTTGCCTTCTGGTGCTTTGGAGCAGATTAAATTGCTCATATTCACTCTAGTGGAGCTTTATGGCAATGCCCATGGAGATTACAGGGGTGAAGTTTTGCAAGATTATCTGGGGAGAGTTTGATTGCATTGCACCTGAAGATGTGGGCAGGGTTTCTTGCAGCTGCTAGCTCAGTCACCTCTGTAGACCTATGTCCCTTTTAACTGGTTAAAGCTGCCCAGGAGGGAACAGATGATTGGGTCTGGGCAATGATCAATACTCCTTGAGGAAAGGGGTGGTTCCTCTTAAGGAGGCAGTAGTGTGCCCTCTCCTGAAGAAACCATTACTTGACCCAGTAAATCTGGACAGCTTTCATCCAGTCTCCAACCTCTCCTTTTTAGGGAAAGTTGTGAAGAAGGTGATCACATGGCAGCTGCAAAGGACCCTGAATGCTAGGCAGATTATCTGGACCCTTTTCAGCCAGGTTTCAGACTGGGTTATGGGAGTGAGATGGCCCTGATTGTGCTCTTAGATGATTTCTGCGGAAAGTGGAATGGAAGTAGTGTGACCATCCTCACTGTTCTTGAGCTCTCAGTTACCTTCAATACTGTTGATATTATCCTTCTAGGCTAGTTTCAGGAGTTGGGGATGGGTGGCCCTGTGTTGTGCTGGTTCTCCTTCCTCAGAGTTGGTTCCACTCAGTATGGAATGGGAGGGAAAAGATCTAGCCCACAACACCTATTTTGTGAGACGCTTCTCTATTTAACACCTACGTGATGCTGCTAGTGAGATGAATGATAGTATGGGTGAAGCGTCACAAATATGCCAATAATACCCAACTTTATATCTCCATCCTGGTCTGCCTGAACAGTGGCATGGATGTCCTGTCTTAGTGCCTAGAGGCTGTAAGGGTCTGAATGGTGTAATGGGTTTCATCTTAACCCAAGCAAAATAGAGTGGCTTTGGGTATTGGGCTGTTACAGCAACAAGTTTTTTCCACACTAGTCCTGGATGGGGTCGCATTGCCCCAGACAGATTTGATGTGCAATCTGGCTTTGCTAGAAGAGCAGGTGCCAGTTATGGTAGGAGGCCTTTGCACACTTTAGGATGGTGTGCCAGTTGCATCCATACTTGAATTGGGAAGCTTTGTTTGTTCCTGGATTGGACCATTGTGTCCTTCTGTCTAGACTACTGCAATGTGTATATGGGACCGCCCTATAGGAATATTCAGAAGCTTCAGCTGATACAGAATGCAGCTGCATAGAGTAAAAGCTGTCGGATATCTGACATATGTAACATCACTGTTTCATGAGCTGCATTAGTTGCCAGGGTGTTTCCGAATGCAATTCAAAGTGCTGATTATTACCTTTAAATTCCTTCAGGGCGTGGGGCAGGATTGTCTTAAGAGACCATTTTCCACCAGTCATTTCTATCTGTCCAATTCAGTCAGTCAGGTTGGGCACATTGCAAGTGCATCAGCCAAGGAATGTCAGAAGGTGGGAACCAGGAGACTTGCCTTTTATACTGTTATCTCTGACCGCTGGAATATCCTTCCCACCAGATATCAGGATGACCCGACCTTGTTGGCCTTGAAGAATTATGTCCCCAGGCCTGGGGCCCCAAGTATGTTAAGGGTCCTTTTCCTGGTTGTATTAACATCTATAGTAGCAGTTTTACTTGGGGCCATATATATATTGTATATTATTTTTTTATGTTTTATGATGTACACTATTTAAAATCAATTCAAATAAAATCAATCAATAAAATGGTCTGGTAACAAAACCTATAAAACAAAACAGGTTTGAGACAAAAGCCAGGTTTTCAAGGTTTTCTGGAACCCCACAACAGAGGATGTCATCCTTACTCGGGGGGGGGGGCTGCTGTCCCAGAGGATAGGAGCTGCAATAGAAAAGCACGCTTCCTAAGTCCCACAAGGTGGCAATATTTAATGGAGGAGACCCAAACTACCCCATCTCTGCTGGAACACACTGGGCTGGCAGAAACAATTGGAGATAAGTGGTATCTTGGATAGCCTTGCCCTATGTCAGTGGTGGTGAACCTATGGCACGGGTGCCAGAAGCGGCACTCAGAGCCCTCTCTGTGGGCACACGCACCATTGCCCCAGTCCTAGGCCTTCAGTTGGGTTTTATAAAACCTTTTCACTTTAGGCCTCCGCCGCCATGTGCAAAAAAAAAAAGGTTCAGTCAATTTCAACTTCTTCAACAGCCGAGGCAACATTAACGGAATTTTGTAAGTCTGAAAGTATTTCTCACTTGGTTTCCTTTTACTATCCAGAAAATGAGAGATGGTCTCTTCTGAAATGCTTCCTGCAACCCCTCCTTTCTGTGGGCTGATATCTTTTTTTACAATACAGTTGTCTCTACTTAAGAGAAAGAGTATTCCTGAGATGCAGGAAAAACCTCAGCTACAAATTATAAAACGGCAGATAATTGAGGAGAGGAGATCATTTGATTTTTGTAAAGAAGGAAAAAAAACCCACCACTTTGAGTTATAGAGGTTATGGCAGTCAACTAAAATAACATCAGCTTCCTCCTGATTTATCTCTGTAATGTCAATTGCCTAATGATAATATTCTAATATTGCTCTACTAAAAAAAGCCATCAAGTCCCTATGGTAGGGCTGTATGGCATCCCCTATGTCAGTGGTGGCGAACCTATGGCACGGGTGCCAGAGGCGGCACTCAGAGCCCTCTCTGTGGGCATGCGTGCCGTTGCCCCAGTCCTAGGCCTTCAGTTGGGTTTTATAAAACCTTTTCACTTTAGGCCTCCGCCGCCATGTGCAAAAAAAAAAAAAGGTTCAATTTCAACTTCTCGCGGGAAAAAAAAAGATCTTGCAAAGTTGGAATTGATTGATTAAACTTTTTAGTCCCACCCAGTCTGCCATTACCACCGCAGCCACGCCCACCCAATGGGCCACACCCACCCGGCACTCGACGATGCATAAGTGGGTTTTGGGTTGCAGTTTGGGTACTCAGTCTCTAAAAGGTTCTCCATCACTGCCCTATGTCATACAATCCACTTTTAAAGATGGA